ACAATCCATCAAGATATGAGTATGAACCATCAAATAAACCATAATAGTATTCTATTAAGCATTATGCCTTGACAATCTCTAGATCTATAGCATCAACACAAATAGACATGCATCAATAACACAAAAAACTAGAGATAAACACATGAACATCTATTATAGCATACATAGACATATGGATAGAATGAAATTATCAATTGAAAGTATTAAACCACATAAATCATTGAATAAATAAGATTCATATATAAAATAAGTGTCAAGACAAGATTACAACACAAATCCCCTCAAAATACAAATCATTAGAGTCTAGAAGGCATACTTAGGGCTAACTCTAGCCCCAAGAAGGCCACTCATTGAAGTAGTCATCCAACCTTCAAGGGCTATTTCCATGGTAGGAATGACCTTCTTCTAGATGGAACCCTAGAAGAATAGAAGAACTCCTAAGAATGTGTCTCTAGCCTCTCCTACTCTCCTTTCTTTCTCTCTAAGAATGTTTCTAAGTATATGTGTAAAAAGTAGCTCAAATCTTTATATTGGTAGCTCAAGTGTCACACCCAATAGTCTGTACTCGTGCACAAGGGCTCCTCCAATGATTGCACATGAGACAACTTTTAATGAGCTGGAATTTGATTTAATTCTCACTTGAAAGGGTTCGATTGATTAAACTGTGTGGAGATCGATAAAACATTGGTGAAATCCATCGAATGCTGTAAAGATCAATCCATCCTTGGCGGCACCTTTTTGAATAAAGACAAATCTCTGAGATATTTTGGGAAAGATACAAGAGTGGTAGGTGTGGACAAGATCGAATATTTTTGATCGATCGAAGATAAGTTGGATCGATGGTGGAATCTTTTGGATAAGGACAAAGGCTTGGATCCATCTTGAAGTGCCCAGATCGATGTTGCTCTGATCGATCGAAGGAATGTTGAGATCGATCGAACTTGTTGATTTCCACACTTTGCTTCATTTTGCTTCTTTCTTCTATTCAGCTTGGGATTACTTCTTTTAAGCTCTTATTTGGCTGAATTAACTTATTTTTGGGATAAGTACCTAAAAAGGGTAATAACATGAAATTAGTCTAAGACGGGAAAGTAAGATAAATAAAGGTCCTATAATACCTAAGCTTAAGGGGTTTAATTGCGAACTTTTCAGCGCTCATCACTTTGCCCAAGACCCTGCCAGGGGGCACTGTCCCCTAGGCTCGACCAATAAATAGTTTGTGTAAGGGTCTCGTATTTAATTATGAATCATGTTATTAAATCATATTATTATTTGTAATGTGTAACAATTTGTGATTTATGTTATTGATCATGTTATTTATGGTATTAACTATAACGGATTATAACTGTGATTTATGACACTAATCATACAGGATTACTATAGAACATATGATGTTAATGGATTTAATTAACTTATAAGTAGTTTATGTGATCATGTTATTACTTTAATTGTTATAACAATTACAATAAATGGTATCATGATTTTTATCACGTTTTTAGTGTATTTATGATCTTAGATTTGATCTATGATTGTTTAAATTTGTTGTGTTATTGTTACATATGGCTTTGATGAGATTGATGAATGTTAGTAATGTGATCATTGAGATAGCTAATAAGCTAGGCTCCTTGATATTTTATGCCATTGTTAAAAAATTCTGGCTCTATCCCTGCTCTTGACCACCTTATGTTTGATTTTTCATGAGATACCCACTATTCGGTTGAGATTGCCCTATATTGCAGTAAGCATCTTAGTGTGTATATATAGGTATTGACTATGTAGCTATAACATGAGTTTGGCTAGGAATGTATCGTTTATCGGTTCTCTCTTTGGGTTGTAGTGGAAAGAACTTGTTCGTGGATCTAACACATACTTATTTTTCAGGTGTTCATCAATCTCATTCTCATAGTTGAGGTCATGCTGATCAGAGATAGTTCTCATCATTCGTTCAGACTCGTTGGCGTTTGATGCTACCTTATCTATTGATGTTGTAGATATAGAGTTTATGTAATCCATATTTCAATTTTATTTTAGGGGTCCTTGATTTATAGATTCTCAAGTTGTATATTGTGGATATTAGTTTTATTGAGGCGACATAACCTTTGGAGATTTATTATTAATTAATGATTACTCATTATTTAGTTTTCCATTCCGCCTATTATTATTCATTTTTATTTGTCTATTTGTATTCCGTGCTTTTTTATATACTTAATTGTTTTGATATCCTAGGGTTTTCGAGTGTGGGCCTGACCAACCTACATGTGAAAATTCGAGGATATCACAAAGGATGTGAATGAGAGAAATAATTTCTAAATATGGAATACATAAGATAATTTTTTTAATTATTTTTGACATTTTTTTTTTCAAATAATTATCAATAATTTAACTGGTAAAAATAGTTAGACTAATGGGGAGGGAGAGAAAGAGAGATCGGATAATAAGTGACACGGACAAATTAAGGGATTTGGTAAGAAAATAAGTTTGATTTTCAATTAAAAACATTTTCAAAAGAAATTTTACAGAGAAAATATTCTTGAGTTTTTTTTTTTTTGGTGTAAGGCGTATTTGTGTAAATATTAATTTTTTTTCATCTGACAATAATGTGAATATGTTCTCTTTAATTAATTTAGAATATATGAGGGATATTTTGAAAATTTTAATTTAAAATTCACTCTATTCCAAGTTCTAAATTGGTCTAACTAAACATTGAAATTGTAATTAGAGGAAAGTCTGAAAAACACCCTTACAGTTTTAAATTTGTGTGAATTACACCCTTATAGTTTACTTTGTTTATATAAATCCATACTAGATATGAAAATGTTGCAACTAACCTCCTCCGGTCAAAATTCTGGTATAAAACCTTAAACCCAAAATTGCCCTTCTTTATATTCCTAAACTACCCCTCACCATATTGTATGTATATTTGTATATATATCTGGACCCTATGCCCAATCTGCCTCTCCCTCATCTCATTCTCTGTTTTCCACCATTGTTCTCATAGATCAATCAAGTCTTTGCCTGCTGCTTGACCATTATGTTGAGAGCGCTCGACTCTCGGAAGAATCGATTCACGTTGGCTCAAGCTTCCTGGGGTCCACGTACTTTTGCTATTGGATCTTACATATGTGCTTACATGATTGACCCTTTGTCTTCTTATTTTCTATGCCCATTGGGTGTAACTTAAAGCGACTTTTTCTCCCTAGATAAGAGGTTTCACCATTGACTCTTGCCTACAGAGACTTATGCGAGGGAATTTAGAAAGAGGATAAGTGTTCCTTGCTTGAGGATCTGCAGTAAACACACGCATGCAGAGGCATACCCGGAGACTCAACTGGAACGAAACCTAAATGGTGTGGGAGCGGCAGACCCGTTAGTTATAGATCGGTATGGTACCAGATAGAAGGACACAATTTGGCTTAGGAGAACGGTCTTAGGTATTGAGAAGACATTGGTTGTGCGTGAAGCTGATCGTCAGTACCTCAAGGTAGATGCGTTTGGGCTCACAATGGGCTGTTATACGCACTATGATTTTTTTTTTTTTTTTTTTTTTTAAAAAAAAAAATCATAGGTGGAGGGCTATTTTAGTCTTTTTTGTAGCTCTGGTACCGGTCAATAACGGTCAATGGCCAAAAGGCACTAATCCGCACCAATTTTTTTATGTATAGGGGAGCTGAACAAACAATAGAGAGTTATACGCACTATGTCGATTCCATAGGGTGTAAAACGCACGCAAACCTTGTAATTACTATTCTATTATATTTAATTATTAAAATAGTAAAATGAGAATGTCCATTTCATTTATATATTATTCTCATTCCATTTTTTGCAACGTCCTATTCCAAACTTTATTTTGTTATTGCGTAACAAACGTATCTCCAAGCCTTGAGTGTCAAAATTGATATTTCAACAGACCCGAATGTCCTTGACACTGAATAAATGATATATTCCTAGAGCTACGATCAAATTGACTCTTAAAATTACTTTTCAGTGATGATATATATTAAAAAACGAAAAAATGGTGGTTACATTTTATTGACCAACAATATAAAAATAACAAATAATTTCATTTAAATAGTGATAACATTGTTTTGATTTGTTTTTATATATTATATGAGTAAAATGATAAAACAATGAAGCATAGGCTGTCCAGGGGCTTGATGGAGTTCGTAAGGCAACGATTTGAGGTGCCATATGTCTCATGTTGGACCGTTCATCCCATTATATTCTTTGTCCCGGTGCCAATTAAATAATAATAATAACGATTTGAGGACTCATTGTCACCGTCCGATGTAATTTTCTCTCTTTCGTCTCTCCGCGCCATTTCTCTATCCTCGAACAGGAGTCCCAAATTCTTCGGCCTTCTTTCAAATTCTAAGGTTTTGAGCTCAAATCTACAATCAAACCCCCTCAGAAGAAGAAAAAGACGGAAAACCTCATATCTGCCTTGTAGGACACATTAATCAAACTTTCTTGCGCTCTATTTGGAGATTACGGTGGTCGCAACAACAAAATTTGGGGCTTTTTGGAATGCTCTTGAATGCCTTTGCGCCTTTTTCAGATAATAGGTTAGTTCACTCCATCTCTAATACTTTAGAGAAAGAGAATTCTCTCTCTATATATTTGTATATATTTATACACCATGTCCAGAAATATTTTTAAAGAATTACGACTTTCTATTCAACAGTTGCTAGGCTTAACCACACTTCTGCCCTTACAGGTTCTTTGCATTTTTGTTTTTTTTTCAAGGACATTTCTTCAGCATCTTATTTTTATGCATTCAAAGTAGTCTCTTTTTTTTTTTTTCAAAATTAAAATTAAAGATAAGGAAGGAGCACAGTGGTTATACTATCAATCTGACAATCATGGTTTTGATACTATTTGCAACAATTAGGACTTTGAATGTTCCAACATGATTAGGGAGTCATTAGAAGAAAGAAAGAAACCACATTTATGAAGTTTTGATACGAAGAACCCATTAACCACTTTGAAGTGCCCTGTAAAAAGGAATCCATAAGAATAAATTTCTTTTAACTCCATCCCTGTCATGCTTCCCTCAAATTTCAGAATAATCTTCCCATTATTTTGAATTTGAGGGATGAACTGTAACAATACCAAATATAGGAATCTATCATCATACGAATGGACCACTAAATTTAAATAACTATTCAACCAATAAGGAATTGTAACATATGTAAAGTCTAAATCATTCCCTTCACCAAGAGATCACCACATAGCTCTCTCAGCAAAGAAATGTAAACTAAAAGGAACGATAACTCAAGCTTCATCATGTCCAAGCAGCAGCTGATCCTCCAAATCTGGCTCAAGTACTACCTGAAAGATAGTAAGGAATGAGCTAACGGCTCAACAAATTCATCGCTCAACAAGTAGCACTCTTGCCATATTTCAAAACAAAACAGTGCAATATTAAGTTGCTAGTAGAATTAATATTATAATTAGAAATGTATAGACTGCTATACTAACACAATCCAATTCTCATACAGGACTGTACAAAAACCGCACATGTTTGGGATCGAACACAATTACACAACCATATCAAAAATCTCATAAACAATCCTTATATTCAAGTGTGGGATCGTACACACCATCCTAAAATCTCGTAAATATTCTCACCTCTGGGATTGTATGGAACTATCCCAACCCAATTACATTGTTGCATTATTATCTTCTTAAATTCTTATTAGAACATTACATGCACTCATATAGATATCCTTATGGTTCTGAAATCAATCTTTAGTAAAATGAAGATACATTTGAGGCTCTGTTTGAATAAAATTTAGAAAAAAGACAATAAATCAAGAAGATGAAGTTAGTGTAATATGTGCAATTATGATAATGAACTATAGTATAGAAGCTTAGGGTTTCTTATAATTTTACATGGAAAGTGAGATAATTTTTATGCACAGCGGTGACTTGAAATAACAATACACTTTCCTGTCTTAGCAGTAGTAAACTTATCTCCTCCTCTGTTAAACCTTCCTCCCAAAGAAATTCTCTTCCACTTCTAAGTTTTCTCTAGATTATTGTGTACCATAAAATATATATATATATATACATATATATATATACATATATATATATATATATATATATATATATATATATATATCAAGTAGTTGAAAATTTGTTGTTAACTACCAAGCCTTTTCTTCTTTTGAACGTGGGTATTTGGGTTGAGTTGAGAATGGTCATTGAGATAAGGGCTCTATGTAAAATTAAATTTGAAAATTTTGAAATAACTTTATCTGTTCATCGCCTCATCCACATATCTATATATATAATATTTTAACTATATATATATATATATATAATGCCGGTTATTACAATTCCTCACTTTTAAATGTTATGCCTACACAGTTACATATATACTATTGTGATACAAAGTCTTTATTGTGGGAACAGAAAATGATTCTACCAATGAGTTTGTATCTATTAAAAAACCAAAAAAATTGGTTAACTAGCTTTTATCCCTCCATGATCCAGCTCCCCCAAATAAGTGTGTGTGTGTATATATAACAACTCACAAACACATGAACTAGGAGAGGAAACTACACACCTTGGTGACCCGGAAGGAATCATGTCAATTGATGTCTCTTATTTTCCTTTCGCCTGGCCTTTTGAATCAGGAAAGAATTGCAACAACTCATCGTTTTATTCTCTTTCAATTATTCATGATTTTTGGAATATGTTGGACTTTCCAGAAATCTTCACCATGTGTTCCTTCTATCCTCTTCAAAAAACTATAGGGCATATCCCATAGCAGTAGCGCTTGCAGGTTACTGAGGTTCTCAATGCCCAATGGAACCATTTCCAGTCCCGAACATGACACAATTTCAAGTTCCCTCAGCCCTGGCATTGCTCCGTCTGCCACTCTTAGGCACTTCAATTGCGCCAGAACACAGAGGCTTAGCTTCTTAAGGATTGGATATCCTCCCTTCTCACATTGTAATTCTTCCCCAATATAAGCTTGTCGTAGTTCAAGCACTACCAAATTAGGCAATCTCTGAAGTGATTTTAGTGGGTCAATGGTCAAATTAGAATATTGAAGGACTAGCTTGGTGAGGTATTTGAGTGCAGGAATCCACCCAGGCAAACTTGGTAAACGGCATTTGAGAAATAGACGTTGCAGATTGGGTGGGGGAGATGAGAGAGAGAGAAGTTCGAGAGATTCTGAAGTGTTAATTGAAACCATGTACAAACCTGTAAGGTGTTTCATCTTCTCCAGTGAAGAACATAGATTTATCCCGTCTTCTTGTCTTAGTTGTAGAATACCCAACCTCCTGAGTTGAGTTAGCTTTCCAAACTCAACTATTTCACAGTTGCCATTCACTTCAACACTTCCCAGTTTCTGTAGACTTGTTAATCTTCCTATTCCTGCCGGAACCGTCATTCCATATGTTTTTGGGAAGTATATTGAAGATTCAAATCGGTAACGTAAGTTACGCAACTGAACTAGATGTTCCAATTGTAAGATCTCAACAGGCAACGATGATATGAAAGATCCTTTGAGATCCAATATCTCCAAGTTCTTCAGTTTCCCAATGGACTTTGGAAGTTCACTTATACATGTGTTCCTCAGACTTAGATATCTCAGATGAATCAATTTGACCAGTTCTGGAGGGAATTCGTAGAGGGGTGCATATTCTAGCTCTAGAACTCTAAGTAATCTAAAACCGTAATAGAATTCACTGCTGGAGGATATTGAAGACCCTATTGATCTAAACACCAAGAGAGACCTTAGGCAAGGGAATCTCCTATCAGATGAGAGGTCCTCGCAACAGCCATGAATTGACAGTCTACGAATTTTCTCATCCAGTGTCATTCTTCTTTCATCCAGTATCATAACAAGCGATTCTTCCGTGGATTTTATCTGGATTAGTTCACGCATAAGGTCATGAACCCTGCAAGTCCTAACTCTGTTAAAATGGTCCATCTGCACCACTTGAATCATACTCCTACTGACTAGTTCATTAAGGTAATCTTCTGCAACCTCTTCCATCGTGAGGCCTAGCTTCTCCTCCACAAATCTTTCAACTACCCAAAGTCGGACCAGCTTCATTCTTTTGATCAAATAATCCTCTGGAAAAACACTTAAATACAAGTAACAAAACTTAAGGTAGTATGGCAAATCATTGTAGCTCAGTAGAAGTATTTTTTGTAGATTTTCAAGGCTAGAATTGCATTTCAGCTCTGCAGCAATGCTTTCATTCACTTTCTTCCATTCCATAACCTGTTTATTCTTCTTTGACAACAGGCCACCTATTGTTACAATTGCTAAAGGGAGTCCTCCACACTTCTTCAAGATGCTTCGGGACATCTCCACTAGCTCATCTGGACAGACACCTTTATTTTTCCCTCGAAAAGCTTTCATGCAAAATAGAGTCCAAGCCTCTTCATCGGATAGAGGTTGAAGATGGTACACATGAACATTGGTGTCTATAGATGCAGCTACATCACCTATACGTGTTGTGAAAACTATCCTACTCCCACGGTTACAATCAGGGAGTGCGAATTTCATAGCTTCCCAGGCACTAATGCTCCAGACATCATCAAAAACGACAACGTACCTTTTTTGTTGTAGATGGTTCCTGATCTTGTTCACCAATTGCAAGTCACCCATTCTGCCTATCCCTTCAGGAATTGGCTCTTTTGCTGCCTCCAAGAATCCCTCCAGTGCAGCTCGCAAAAGCTCCACCGTTGTAAACGACTTGGACACTGTTATCCAGGACTGACAATCAAAGTGCTTCTTAACAGGATGACTATCATAAGCTTTCTTCACAAGAGTTGTTTTTCCTAAGCCACCCATGCCCACCACTGAGATGGCTGTAAGATTCTGCTCTCCCTCTGTCAGCCAAGTAATCAGTAAACTCCTAGGATTCTCAATTCCCACAACATCAGCTTCATTAATGAAAAGAGACCCCAATCGAGGATCATGCCATGTCTGCAATTGCGAATTGGAACTTGTCGCTTCATCTATCCTTCTGAAACAAAATGCTGCTCTTCTTTCTGAGATGGCCTTAACATTCAACTTTATCTGCTGAATCTGACGAGCCAAGCGGTGTCGTGTTCTCAATTGCCGGATGTAGTGATAGCCTCTGCGAAGGGAATGGAAGAAACCATTCCCATGAGGAATTGACAAGCAAAGCAAAAACACGTCAAGAACATCTTCGGTGTCATAAGCCACGTCTCTCACTTGCTTCACCCATATTCTGACTCCTTCGTCATTCTCGCTTCTTGCTTCTGCATCCAGCAGGAAGGCTTTCATGCTCTCCAAATCATCGCGTAGTTCATCAACTTTCTGGTGAATTCCACCCAGCAACCGAGCTTCTTCATCTAGCATGGTAGCCAATTTCTGTAACACCAGGTTCACAGCTATCATCGCCATCTTTTCTTTTGCAAATGAAAGATGAACAATCTTCTCTGTATCCTCTAGTCTCACAATATCCTATTATTTCCTTGTTAGATCCAATTAGGAACATTTGACCATTTCTTGCCCAGCTATTTCATTTGTCCTTTTCTTGAATAATGATTAGTAAGAAATAGTTGACTCTAAGTCGCGCAAGTTTAAAGCTATCAACAAAATGTTGGTGGCAAGTTGTAATGTGAACGCACATTGGTATGGTCCATAATAGCTGTGACTCTGTCTTTTGTGGCTATGTTTGATCTTAGCATACCGTACGCTAATGAATTAATAAACCTCATTACATATTTTATGTTTGATCTTAGTAAACTGTGCACTAATGAATTAGTAAAGCTAGTCAAAGTGTCGAAGGTGATGTTTTTCTTTTGACCAAACCAAAAGTCCTTCCCCAAATGGGAATTTCTGTTAAGTCGGCCTACAGGCTTATTCGAATGGGGAGGGCTCCAGCTTCCTTCACCGTTCCTTCTTCAAGTCATGTTAAGGGCGAAATGGTACGTGGAAAGTCATTTGGCGAATTAAATTTCGTGTGATAACCCGAATTTTTTTTAGATTATAATTTATAATTTTATTTTTTTTGAGTTTGTTTTAGTGGAAGTATTGTTGTTGTAGTTTATATATATATACATATATATATACATATAGTGCTGGGAAGTGGTAAGAGGAGCAGCCGCAAGTGGGAGGAAAAGAGAAGGAAAATTGAAATTGGGCTTGTGCAGGTCCCACGTGGCTTGTTTCATGATCTCTGATGGAATTGGTTTGGTTGGTTACGTACTTATTATATATGTAATCTGATAGAAAATGAAGAAAGAAAAAAGAGAGAAAAAAAGGAAGAAAAGTTGGTGTTTTGGCGGGACTCACGAAGTGCTTTGTTTGGCCAAATTTTCTTTTGCGTTGGTTTCTTCCACGTGGCCTTATTTTGTGGTGTGGGTTTGATGAATGTTGAGATAAAGTTGAAAAGGGGGTCTACTTTTAAAAGATATTTTGTTAATTGAATCGGTCATTGTTGCATGTCGGTGGATTGTTGTCCATGTATTACTATAAAGCTTATTGTGTTGAAAAAAGTCACATGAAAAGTGTAACTTTTAAATGACCGTAATTTTTATAAATTGAACTGACACGATTTTTTATTAAAAATATATTTTTATTAGAATCGTGACTCTTACAAATTAAACTGACATAATTCTTTATTAAAATTACCTTATTTTTTAAAACGGAAGTAGTATATTGGTAAAGCTAGTCAAAGCCTCAAAGGTGATGTTTTTCTTTTGACCAAACCAAAACATCTAATTCATTATTTTTTAATGTATTTTTATATTAATTTTTTTTATTATAGGACCGCTTAGCTCGAGCAATGTGATGATGTGATTGGATCACTATTAATCGTACTCAAAACATGTTACTTGGACAGATATTGCTCAATTAGATGTGCATATGGCATGCCATATATCTAATTCATAAGTACTGAGGAGGGTTAGGTTAGAAGAGCAGCATCAGATTGCCTCACCTGTTGGTCAACCTAGGCATTAGAAGATTCAGCCTTGGGCTCCAGTAACTGGACTGCTGAAACTTGAAAGTCATTAATTCACCATCTAGGTTTTGGGCATTTAGTTTTGAACTTATCCTTTGTTAGCATAGTGACCCTCAGAGTAAGTTGGTAGTTGAGAAATAAATAGTGGGGGCCATTTAATTTTGCAATTCCAACTCTGCTTATGAAATACACAAAAATGCTGGTATATATGTTGTGATTTAACTTCTTCCCAAACCTTATTAGGCTATTAAGACCAGTAGACCACCACACATATCATGCTATATGATCACACATTTATATGACACACTAATGCTATGTGATCACACATTTGTACTTAAAAATCATTGCTACACATGAGACACATTTATATGACAGATCTTACTTGTTTCTAATACCTCACATTATCTGAATTTGTTTCAATGTGGCAATTAGGTTTTCACTAAATATGAATGAAATTTTTGTGTGCATTGTTATATTCATATTAGTTGGATAAATTGGACTTTTATTTGCTAATTGCTGAGAAAAATAATATAAAATTAAAACATGTTGCTGCAAGATAATGATATTCTTTTAATTTTTATTATTTGGATAACCAAAGAGTACATAGATCAAACCAGTAAAAAGAGACATTGTAGACCAAATTACTACACACAAACATGAACTTAGATCTATAGCTGCAGAGTGAGACTCCACATTATTTAGTAGACCATAAGATTAACCCTCCAAAAGACACTTAAAAACTTCCAATCCTATGCCTGGTGAATGTAATCATCCAACTCTTTTAAGTTCTTGACAGCGAAGTCTTTGATGATATGTGGAGCTTCAATGTCCTCTTTTGCCTTTTCATAGTCACAGGACCAGTGCACCAAGCTTCCATCTCCCTTTGGAGATACAACCAGATGAGCCTTGAAACTCTTGTAGAACTTGAGGAGATCCCCATCAATCACACTGTAAGACACCGACTTCTTTGCTTCATCAACTGCTTCAATCTTCTCTTTCGAGTGTTTTACGAGAGGTGAACCTAGAAAACAACCCACAAGCATTACATTTAGCAACAGGTCAAGTTCTTCTAGGACAAGATAAATGCTATATGGTTCAAATTCATCTCCCACTGAACAAGCTGGAAAAAGAAGTTTTATAGAGATGATCGCTTGTCGCGTCATGTCAGCTTCTTTAGTCTGTCTAAAACATCAATGTAGAGTGTATATATATATATATATTTTCCTTAGGGCATAGATTTCACTTCCTATATATTATCAAGTTCTCATTACCAAGAACACAAAAGGTCATTGATTTTGGAACCTTCTTAGTGAAAATAGAACCCGAAACCTTTGCTGTAAATTTTGCTGCTTTAGTGATTTTCAACACCTTTATATCTACTTTTTTCAGCCAGTGTTGAAAATCACTGTATTGAAAAACATTAATAACGTGTTGTGCAACAAAGGATCTGGGCTCAGGGAAGATAATGCTATTCATGTGGACATTATGAGGATCCTTGTCTAAAATTCAAGGTCCTCTCTCGGGGCTTCAACCCTTCTAAGAGATACCTACCACCTTGGCTAACAGGCCTGTGGTCAAGAACCTAGCTTGTCAAAATAAACATGCATAGACTTGAGTGGAATTTCTTCCACCTCAGAGGAGATTGAGGGTTTGAGTCTCAAATTAGGTCAAAATAAATGTGCGCGAGTGTCCTACCTATAAAATAAATAAATAAATAAAGATGAATTTGCAAATACTAAGTTCACTTATAATTGTCTTATAATTTACCTTCACCATATGTTATTAGGCTAACAGAGCCGACACTTTTTCCATCACCCTCAAGAACTTCAATGCTTTTGTACTGATCAGGAAAGGCCTTTGGGAAGATGTTGGCAGAGTCCCTAATGCTGTGCCAGAACTTATCTGCGTGAGACTTGACCTCCACTTGTACATCAAGCTTTCCTGTTGAAGCCATTGTTATACAACAATGAAGCAAAAGAGAGTGTGTGTGTGTGTGTGTTTGAAAAAAAACAAGTGCTTAAGAAACTTTGTGAGAACTTAACACACACATCTATCTCTATATATAGTGGTTTTGGAGAGTGAGAGCTTTAATTTTCATTTAATGGCTGGTTCAACTGCCATTTATCTGCCTGCCACTCGGTCATTCATCATGGAAAAAAAATGCTAGTGTCACATGTCAGCATAAGATAGATGTGCAATTGCATTCGATCCAAGTGTTGTGTGTTGATCTAAGTCACACAGAGCGGGAGCGGATGTAGGAGCCAAAGGAGAACGCAAAAATCTAAAATTTTTTAGAGCTAAGCGTCTTGAAAGTATCTATATATTAGGTTTAAATAAAATTATATCAGGTCATGACATATATATTTTATATATTTTTATTTATTTAAATTCATATGCAAATATATTCATAATTATTTATTCTATTAATGATATATGTAATAAATAAGTTAACTTTTCTTACTAATAGATGCGTGATTTATTTGTAATATTTTCTAATTGGGAAGTTTTTTAGTAATATATTTTCAAATATGTATAATTAATATATATAAATATATAGGGTAGTATAGCAATAAATGTATATATGGTAATATAAGTGTTTTATATCACTAGGACTCTTAACAAATTTAGATATATAAAGTAAATTCGTGTGGAAATCGCGAATTAGGAAAACAAATTTGTGAATTGCAAAAATTGAATTCTCGAATTTTGTGCAAATTCACTCCCAAATCGCAAATTCGCGTGTGGAACTTGAGAGCGGGGCCTTTTTGGATGGTGTGTGACTTAGGTGTTAATGTGCAAAAACTCATTGAATGTAATTGATTATTTATTATTGTGTTATCCAAGTGCTTTAAATTAAGTTGGTAGAAACATTAACTATTACCCATTACATGCAAGATAAGACAACAACTGATAGTGGAAGTCTTTGCCCATGTATTGATGTTTCTGGGAATTGTGATGGTCAAGGGATGGATTAGGCGTAAATGAAGCTCTCTTTAAGATTGCACAGCCAACCAAATCTCTATCTCTAAACCAGTGGATTGTTCTGTCAAATTGTAGTACAGTAAATATTCTGAAGTTGGAATGTGTATACTGTGACATGGTTTTTAATGGCCGGAGTAGGGAAGACGAACTATTATGTTTTGACATTGTTAGGAAAAATTATGGTCTTAAATAGAGTAGAATGACAAAACGTGTAGGGTTTAGCTAATAATGTATATATTACATTATACAACGTTGGTAGATCAGAAAATTAGTTTGTTTTGTTTTGTTTGTTTATTTATTTATTTATTTATTTATTTTTCAGGTAGAAGGTAAAGCAATCAGAAAAATCAGTTTGCTTCCAAGATTTGCCAAAATGCAGGAAGGACTTCAGTGTAGCCTGGTAATGAATATCTTTCTTTCAATATCCATTCCACATAATTTATGGTATTTTAAGATCAATGAATAGCTCTCTCATTTTAATTTTCACTAGTGACCTTGTGATCTTTGGGGTTATCCACTCATTTGTCACTAGTTACCTTGTAATCCAACCGTGTATTCTTTAAGGAACATTAGGGATCAATTAAGAGAATTTATGTGGCCGAGCTTCCGACCCATTCATATAGAATAAAAACAAGAATGATGATGATAATCACAATATATGGACTATTTCAATATGGAATTTGGATCCTCCTTTGTATTGACTTACTTTCATTTGTACTAGGGGTAGAAAAATAAGTAATGACCCACCAACTCGTCCAAATCTGCTCATTTAAAAACGGATATGGGTGAACCATTTTAAAATATAGGTCTGACTCATATTAAATGGGTTGAATATGAGTCACTCATTTTGACTCATATTTCACCCATTATATAAGAGACAATTTTACATCATTTATTTTATTCAAATTCACCTCTTCTTCCTCTCTAAAATTTTCTCATACGATTCCAAATTCTCTCCCTCCGACTCTCTCTCTCTCTCTAAGATTCTCTCTAAGATTCTCTCTCATCATCCTCTGTCTTTCTAAAATTCTTTTTAGTACTATAATATTATTATGCTACATCCACAACACATATAAAATGTATTCGTGTGTATATAAAATAATAAATTAGAGGATTTACAATTATTGATACATATTTTACAAGCTTATATCCATTCCAAAAAAATCTATAATAATGAGATTATCCAAAATAATAACATTTCTTTTTTCTAGAAAGGGCTAGTGTGTTATGACGGGTTGACCCGATCCATTTTGATTAACCCATATTTAATTCTGTACAAATTCGACCTAACTCACCCATTTGTCACTCCTAATTTGTACCTTTCAATAAATGCTCAAATATTCAGGTAGCATAATTACATGAGATGAAGATACTTGCACTCAATTGTGTGGGTTAGGTGATTGTTGCATGCAGTAGCATAATTAATGGTACGATCGCCCAAGTACTACATGGTTGCAAATCAGCATCCTTTGATAATGAACTTTTGAGATCCAATTAAAAAGTCTAAGAATTGCATGTGTATTTTTCTCCCTATAAAATAATGACCACAAATGTTTTTTGAAAGTAAAAGGTACATTGTCAATAAGGACGACTTTTTAATTCTTATAACATCTAACGAATGAAAATAAGTAGGTGAGGAAGTGGCAGAGGCATTTATATTTTGCATCGCCACCTCTGTGGTTGCCTTTTAATGAGAGCAGATGGTAGTTAAAATGCCGACGAAGTTGTTAGCTTCATTTTGAGGCCTACATTTTACAGGGAGGTTCTTGGCGATATACATATATCTATATATATATATATATATATATATATACCAAAATTCTATATAGAGAGATAGAGAGAGATTGGAGGGTGATTGAGAAAAAGGGGCTAGGGGGAGATACCAAAAATTGAACTCAACTAAATTCATTGACAGCATCACAATCATTGTACTTTTAGAGTATAACACTACTTATTTATTTATTTAAAAGGGTGCAATGTAGTAATTAGAATTATAACACCAAATATGATCGTTAGATTTTCTTTTTGACCAGTTTAAAAATTTTTAGACAAAATTACCCTATGGCCTTTAAGATTGTTCGCTCTCATAGACACAATTATTTTTTTAATGCACAGGAGCACTCGAATGTATGAAACTAGTAGAAGCAATATAACACAATCTAGCCTTTCCAAAAAAAAAATTATTTTAACACATTTTAAAGATGATGAGATACGGAGTAAATGAAACCGGCAAACTCCAACTGCTTCCCATGGATGCATAGAAATGAGGCCCACATCATCGGATTCATTGCATCTCCGGGGCCTATTTGGTAATTATTTTTGTTTCGTATTTTCTGTTGTGAATACAGTGTTGTAGCAAAACAAAATACTGAAACACATTTAATAACTTTAGTTACAATTTGAAGCGTTTGTTGCAAAAAAAAATTCCCAAATTGAAAATACCAAACAGGCTTTTCTTAATACCGTAGCGGTGAAAAAAAAAAAATTCGACCTTTTTTTAACTAGTCATATTATTTTCCAATCTTATAATTTTTTTTTTTTTACTAAACATATTTTTATATTTTTACTTCCAAAAATCTTACAACAAGTTTTATATTATCAAACATGCTTTCAATCATTATTACACACACTTTACACCAAAAACATTAATTCAGTACTTTCAAGCATCACTTAAATGAAATGGAAAAAAAATAACCCAAATGAGATCGTAAATTGCCTAGAAAATATAAATGAATTGTACAATTTAAGTGCCAAAGTTCTACTAATTTTGGCCTTTCTCCATCTTTTTCAATCAGTCTAAATAGTAAACGACTAGCCATAAATCACAAATTTGAATTCGAGGGTTTGGAAGCAAAAAAACCATCACCTAATTATTGGTTAGTCGGTTACATAAAATCATGCGTATTTTGGAGAGTTGTTTCGAGCATGATTGGATAAATTTTTTTTGTTTGAAACGCTAATTCCATAAAAAACTTCATTTTAATTAACTTTAACTTGTGCATGTCCATCTTACTATGGAATGGCAGAAAAAAATTACCATCGTGGTGAGATATTGGAGAAAACTAGTCTACTAAACATAAAGCTATTTGAATCAAAGCATATTAGTAGTGTTTGTATAAATCAAATTACGTTATATTCCATTTTTGACTAAACCCTAAATCTGGATGGCACTGATCTTGAGTATCTATTTTGCTAATTTGATATATTTATAGCATTTTTTTTTTTAACTTTAAAAATATTACAGTGTGCTTAAATTTTATGTAATAGTACAATAAATAGAATGAAATTTTAAATTGTGGATTTGGATCGAATTCTAAATTGTGGTTTTGGAACTCTGTGATTTTGATCTTCAATTTTGGGTAAAAATGTAACCTCATAATATTGATATCAATTACAACTGAAGCTACTCGTTTACTTTGTTGAAACATTGAGGTGGATTTAAATTACAAAAGGGGCGCATGATTAAAAAATAAAAATAAAAATAAAAAAATAAAAATGCCGAAGACAAAACACTAAATATGATAGTTACATTCTCTTTTTGACCAACTAAAAAATCTTAGACAAATTTAATGAACGGGAGCAGATGTATAAAGCTAGTGGATTCTAGCCTTTAGGGAAAAAAAATATTATAAACTAAAAATTAACACATTCTAACAGCAATATGAGATGGCCCAGGGCGTAGCGGATCCGGGAGGTAAGTTTTTAAAGTCTTGTTTTCGAATCGTACTTCTGAATTGAATGGTACGTGTGTTGTGGGGCTGATATACATATTCAGAAAAAAATAAAAATAAAAAAATAAGATAAAATAAAAATCAATATGAGATACCATGATATTTCCTCTACCTTCTAAAGTGGATGGTGAGAGTTTGAGTTTTCGGAAGAGTAAAGTGAGTGTATGAATATATTTCTTACAAATAAAAAATAAAAATCCTTGGATGCAATGAAATGAGGCCCGCAACACTGCATCCCCTAGCAATGGGACTTGGGCTATGTTTTCATTAAATTTTTTAGGCTTGGCAATTATTGCATCCGATGGCAACGAAAGGTAACTAGTCCAATAGTA